ACCCTGATACCCTGATACCCTGATACCCTGATACCCTGATACCCTGATACCCTGATACCCTGATACCCTGATACCCCTATACCCTAATACCCTTGTACCCTTATACCCCTTATACCCTTATACACCTCATATTCCTATACCCTCATACCCCTTACTTCCCCTATACCCGTTACACCCTTATACCCCTTATACCCCTTATACCCCTTATACCCCTTATACCCCTTNCCTGATACCCCTATACCCTAATACCCTTGTACCCTTATACCCCTTATACCCTTATACACCTCATATTCCTATACCCTCATACCCCTTACTTCCCCTATACCCGTTACACCCTTATACCCCTTATACCCCTTATACCCCTTATACCCCTTATACCCCTTCAAAACTGATGGACAAACAGTACAAACAGATAACCTCCCCAAAGAGTTACAAATTTAAAGTGAAATCAAAATTTTTGCTAATACTGGGTCAGCTTAATCCGCTTTTGAACAAACCTGTCCTGAGTGGAAAGAGGCACTGTGAGACTGAAGTGTGTCGCCTAGGACAGAACACAGTGGCTACAGGATGTGTTCAGACCATGACCTCTTAATCCATAGACTCGTCTGCTAGCCTGCACACCTAAATGAAGTTTATTGACCCAAAATTTCTTGTGATATTATGGTGAAAGCAACACTGAAAGCTGAATACGTAACCTTACGTAAAATAAGGTAATTGCGATTATTCTTAGGTGCAACTTGATGGCCAATGCCCATCAAGCAGAGAGATAAACAGAATTCGTGAACTACTCCAGGAGGAACTGAATTTTGAGATCATTAATCATCCAACTCCACCACAGTATCCAATGTCGAAAAAAGGCCACAAGAAGGTAATTAAAAAACAGAAGCTTCTATGCATACAAGTCGTTCTTCAGTGCATTGTCTAACTTCAGAATGAAAGCCGTGCATCGTACTCGTCAGATGTAGCATGTCTCAGCTTTGTAGCCTTTAGAAGAGTGAGTCGTAAATAAAATTGTAGCTGGTCTTTTAGAGTTGTTAGTAGTTTGTCTTTTCAGGTTAGTTGCTGACATCAACACATCTCTACCTTATTAGCCACCATGTTCAATTTGAAAATGTCGAGTTTTGAAGTTGAGACCTTTGCCATGAATAAGAAGATTGCGGGTCAGGCCCCTGTTGTTCGAAGGCTGGATAACGGTATCCGCCGGAGAAATCGCTATCCAGCGGATAAGTGTTGACAAAACAAACCATGCTATCCACTGGATAGTGATTTATCCGGTGGATAGCGTTATCCACCTTTCGAACAACCCGGGCCAGATTATTTGCGCTTCTAGAGGTTTGTGCTATTGGAGAAAAATTGCTAATGTCCAAGGCGTGCAAATTTGTTTTGTTATTTTTTTAGGCCAAAAGCATTGATAGGGTAATAGCTCTGGATTCTGCCTCGGATATTCAGCCAAGTTCGTCCTTAACAGGTAGAGTGAACGTTTAGTTTGAATTATGGTTGTTGGGAGATAGACTTTGTGGGTGTTGTGAGCGGCAGAGAAAATAACAGTCACAACCAGCGTATTGCCGACGGCATACACTTGCCATACATTTGCCACACATTTGACATACATTTGACATACATTTGACATACATTTGACATACATTTGACATACATTTGACATACATTTGACATACATTTGCCATACATTTGACACACATTTGACATACATTCTATACATTTGCCACACATTTGACATACATTCGACATACATTCGACATACATTCGACATACATTTGACATACATTTGACACACATTTGACATACATCATTGCTTACCATGCAGTTGCCATACATTTACCATTCATTTACCATACATTTGCCATACATTTACCATACATTTGCCATACATTTGCCATACATTTACCATACATTTGCCATACATTTGCCATACATTTACCATACATTTGCCATACATTTACCATACATTTGCCATACATTCGCCATACATTCGCCACGCATTTGCCTTACATTTGGCACACATTTGCCTTACATTTGCCATAAACCTGCCATACTTGTATGGCAAATGTATGTCACACAGGTTTAGTCTCAGAACTGGGAGCGTTTTATGAAAATTCAAATTTTCACCTTTGCTTTACAGACTCGAACTCACTTCTCGATGATACCGACGCAGAATTTCGTTCCCGAGTGGAGAAAATTCGCCAAATGGGAGGAGATTCTTGGCTCAAAATATTTGGTGAGATACAAGGAGAAGAAGAAATGGCCCAGGTTAGGGCAGCCTTCATTATTATGCATAGTGACGTAAATTTCCTGGTTAATGGCGATTTTTATTTTTTCTAACTGTTCAAAAGTAATTACTATGTCATTTTAGCTCCAACAGAATGGTCAAGCCTGTCTAGTGGACGACAATGGTCAAAGTGAGCCTGCAAGCGATCAGCCGTCTCCCAAACTTGACATGATCAGTGGAGCTAGTGCTAGTCTGAGCATTTCATCAGAACAACAGGTTAGGGGATGTACATGTGGCTAAAGCAGTTGCACAGTAAAGTCTTTTTTATCCATACGTTATGACGCGTGATGCAAGTAACTGTTTGTTAACGATAAGCGTTCGTGATTTCTGAGTTGAGGTTGCTGATGTACAGTAGTTGGGGAAAAAAAGGCAAAGTTGAACCTGAATAGTGATTATATCAGTGAATATATAGTTTATAACATAATGCAGGATCACAAGGCTGCATTTCGCTAAGTTATGGTGTGAACCAGCCAATGTGCACCTTAGAAAATTGCGCTTTTGAGCGTTTAAAACATGGTTAATTAGCTTACTTCCATTTGAGCTTGTGTTGTACTTCCTTGAAGTAGTGATCAACTTGTTTATTTGATTTTATTGTTCTCCAGGAGACTGCGGACGCACCGGGCGAGAACGAGGCTCATCCACGTCGTTTACAGTTTGGCTTTGCGCCTGAACTGGAAAAACTTGTTCATGACAAAGTAGAATCAAGCGCAGACCTGTACGTAATGTAACTTTAGAAAACGTTTTGCTTCACGGTTTGCCTTCATAATTATGTCACGGTTTGCGCATACTGAAAAGTTTAGCTTAAATATTTCAAGTTCGTCGTTTGTAATCCGTGTTAATCTTTTCTATTCTTGGCCATCCTTGTTACTTTGTGGTTTATTACTATTATCGCTTTGATGTTTCCTATGCTAGTGAACTACTATTTTCAGGTTTCCTTTAATTTAAAGGTTATTTTTTTACGTGGCCAGAATAACTCAAAATACCATGACAGAGCTCATTTAATGGTCTTCATTTGTCTCGTTATTAGAAAACTATAATCCGTCTTTACTAGTTTTAAATTTGGAAAAGTGATCATGGACCTCTGAAATCCATTGCAGGACCTCGGGTACATATATGGTGGAGGTCGAGGGAGAGGAGCGTAATAGAGGAATCACCGAGGAAAGGATGGTTGGAGTGGACCTTTTTAAAGGGGTCATTATCGAGATACAAATCACTACCGGCAAGACATTTGCCAAGCATAATTTGGGTAAGACTAGAATTCAACCCATGATTTAACTTTTGTGGGGGGCTGTTTGTTTATTCGTTTGCAACAACTAGTTTTCTTTGTCTTTGTCATTTCCCAGAGGACATCAGTAGTGTGGACATTTTGAAAGTGCAGGACGTCTTCTGTGTAGACATCCGCGACGTCTTTTCCAAGGAATGGCGACGTCATCACGCGGATGACAGCGACAGTTTGACTTCCGATCACAACAAGGACTATCGACAAGTGGCGAGGTACCGCATGCGCTCAATTGAAGATGCCGCTGAGCTGTTTGCACTGCTTTACAAGTTCATTACTGAAAGGTAACGAGTTGCCTCTTTTTTATTCGTCTGTTTCTCTCATTTCTTCGTCTTCTCCGTTTTTTCTTTTACTATATCTCTGAGGTACTACTCACGCTGTGATTAGTCAGTAGCGGGTCGTACTCTACTGTACAACTCGCTAAAATGTGGAGTAGTTTTTGGCGCCAAAATGTCTTTTAATTTATCGTCAAGTTTTCTTAACGTTCATGGCAAATAAACGAGTAGAACTTTTCGTTTTCGAAAAAATTTTGATATGTATTAATTTGCTAACGACTCAGCAACGATTTCAAATTGAATCGTTTTGCTTTTGACGTAAGTCTATCGAATGGTCTACTGAACAACTCCATCACACAGGCCCGCGCGTTTCACCCTTGGCTTGCTATAAATTGAAGGGGAAAAGATCGGTCCGCAACTTACAATACGGACCTCGAATTCGGTCATTAAGAGTTATTTTTTGCCCGTTTCCCGTGTAGTAAATCTTCATTGCTTCTGTGATCTTGTTGAGGAGTTTGTCATTATTGATAAGGTTCTCTGTCTATCTAGTTTATGTTCATGTTTTTTTACTCTAGTTATTTTTCATTAACCTTTGCAGGTCATCAAAGGAGTCTATTCCCAGTGTATACGTACAAGAACCGCTTGTAGATGTCTTCCCAAGGAATATCGTAGACTGGCCGAATCCATTAGGAGTACAACAAGATCTCTTGCACAAGTATTTTGACGACTTCCTACACGAACCTGAGCAGGAGCCATCCTTGCGTAACAGCGAGGAGAATCCATCAGACCGCAGTCGTACGCACAGGATACAGACTATATATCAGGCCCTCCATGCGGAGTTCATAGACGTGGGGTGCTTAAGGCATGATCGCTCCGGGCCCTCGCCAGAGATGGTCCGTTTGGTTCTGTGGTCCGGTTGCCTTCCGTATGTTCGCCCAGAACACGAGCTTCCAATTTGTCTGTTGATGACAAATGTTAACATATATTTGTTCCACTCATCGCATTTGGACGCACCCGAAGGCGTACGCGCCTTGAAAACATCCAGCGATTTGTGTAAGATTCTGCAATGCTTTTACAGCTTTCCCGTCCGAGAACTGAACGAGGTGGTGTTCGGATTCTTCGATCAGGGCTTTAGAATGGAGGTTAAACTTGATGGGCCTCGAGGGACCTTTACAGTACTCACGCGTGATGCCGAAAAAACGGACAAATTTCTAGAGACATTGAGAGAAGTCCTTGGGGAACCCCTGAATGAGGAGCAATCTGCAGTCCCTCGCATCAGGAGACAGTTTTCCTCTGAAAGTCTCCCCAAGCTAACATTTCCCAACGAGGAGAAAATTAACAAATTGAAATCCGAACTGGCAAAATCTGGAGCAGTGTCTCCCACGGAAAACCAGAATCTGCTAATGTACTCAATTGTCCGAGAAATTCCCGACTGTGCCTCGTTCAGCGTCCAAGAAACCGGAGATCTTACGAAGATGCTCCGAAGCTTGATCGTCATGAATTCGCAGATTTTTCTGTGTGACGAAGATCATGTACACTGGCCACTGCCCTCGTTCGTGCGGGCGCCGCCGTCCACACCGCAGTGGGTGGTTACCAAGTCTCAGGTAATCAGTAAAATTATTGGAGTGGATGTGTTTGAGCTCGCAAGCAGTGTGTGTGATTTTTTTGGCGTGTTTGGTCTCTCACTCATCTTCGACCGCGACGAATCCGAGTCAACGTCCGCCGACGATCAACATTGCTGGCACCTAATTTTCCGAGCCGCGGACGAGCGTACACAACTTCAGCGGTCTCTCTCGCAAGTGTGGAAGGACAATTTTCAAGCTGATCTGAAAATCACTTACTCCAAACCCAAGTCTTTCCCAGTCCTTCACGACGACAAAGATCCTAAAGGCTTACTCGAATCCACTGCTTCGATTGGCCTTGAAACACCTGTGGGTACTCCTGTGGAGCAGATGTCCAAAAAGACCCATCGGAGGGTGGGGTCGGACAGTCTGCCGATTTTCAAACCAAGCATGGTGAATAGCTTGGAGAGCTTAGTAGCGCTGGACAGAAAGGTGTTAGATGGTTTCTTTCATAAGTGGATTTCACAGAAGGAACAGAACGAAGATGAAACTCTTCTCCATGTCTTGTGGACGGGTTGCACGCCTTATCTCTTCCCTTCGCTAGAATTCAAAGTTTGCATCTTGCTAAGCAACTTGTATGTGTACATTTTGGCCGACAAAGAGCACAAGGCTTCTATTAACAAGAAGAAAGGAGTGAAGCTGCGGATTTCAGAAGGCGCTGACTTGAAAGAGGCTAAGCCTACCATTTGTTTTAATTTCATCTCTATCAGCAAATTGCGCCAAGTTTGTGTGGGTTTGTTTGATCAAACGTTACGACTCGAAACCGAATCCAAAGAAGACACTTTCACATTGATCACACGTGATTTTCATCTCACGAGTACTTTTCTTGAACGTTTGAGCACAATTTTGTCGTCAAATCACACCGGCGATTCTTCGCCTCCGAGTACCGACACGATTCCGACGAGTATCTACGACTCGCAATCGATTAGCGATGTCGATCCGCACACGTTTACGAAAACGGATTATCAACATACGAACAGTGGCGTACGGTTCGTTTATCCGAACGATGACACGCTGGAGATTCTCAAAGACGCCATGGCGGACTTCAGTCGTCAATCCGTTAACTGCAGCGTCCTCAGTGATGTTATTATCTTGGTCTATCTCTTGGTCTTCCACGAAACAGAAACGGCACAGGAAGAACCTCGCACGCTTATCATCATGGACAAGTCTTTATGCCTCTGCATTGAAGACCATGTCAACTACCCGCTGCCGTTATTTGCAACGGGACTTCCCGAGAACCCGCAGTACAACGTGCAGGACTTGCGTGACATCAAATCGTTGTCACGCGTTGAATTCAGTGACTTCAACTCGTGCGACTTTAAAATGGTTTTCTCGCCGACTCGACTTCAAGACGAGGATGTTCCCGATGGGTTTGATTCAGCCAGTATAGGGGAGTTGTGCGTTATAACACATCATATACCCGACCCTGAAGAGCATGATGTGTGCTGGTGGATTGTAGCGCAGACGTACGAGGAGAAAGAAAAAGCGCTGAGTCTTATCTGCAAACTCTGGGCCGACATTCATGGCGGAGCTCTACCAGTCATGAAGGCCAAGAGTTAGAAAATCCGCGGTATTTGCTTTGGTCCCGAGAACGAAGCTCAAGAGAGTAAACGCGAACGGTACAGTTCCATGATACTTGAATTGACATGTCAATAAATGAGCTTGACTACGAAAACATCAAGATGGACGAGTGTGGAGAAGCAGAGAGTCGAACAAGTCGATTGATAGACAGCGAGACGCGGAGAGGACTGGTGATGGCGTCCTGGCTCGTTCCAGGCTCTTTTCACTGAACGCCTTGTACCAATAACACTCCCTAAAATGTTTGAGTAGGTTTTGATACCTCTTTGACAGCTCTCTATTGGTTTTCCAAACTTCTCGACCAATTGAAGAGTCAAAACCCAGCACGTGCCGTTTATCTGCACGTGGCTGTCTTAACTGCCCCGCATCCAAGTAACTTAGTTTTTTTTATGAGATAGAAAAGGGGAATCCCAACATAAAGATGGTAGCAGTCAATCAAGAACTTTTTTGGCCTGACAACTTTAAAAGTACCAAGTTTGAAGGCATCTCCTTTCAAGCAACAGTAGAGAACTAGATATTTGATTACATTCGTTTAGGTTGCGTAGTCAAAAGACTTTTTTGTGACCAGAATCTTAAATAACCGTAATTGACGAGCTCTCTGGTGATTCAGTACCAACACTAGGAAGTTATTTTTGGTAGAAAATAGCAGAGAAAGCCTGGGCGTTAATTAGCGAAGAGCATTCGTGTAGAACTAGAGAAACACAAAAGAGTACTCTTTGAGCTACCTTCATATAGAAAGTAACTGTGAAGAGGTTTCGTCCGTGTTTTTACCGAATTACAGCAGCATTCATGGAGAATTCGAATTTTCTCCCTCCCAAAAAGACCTCTATTTCATATAAATGTCACTTGTAATACAGAGCATTACCATATATTCCAATAATGTATTTGTATGGTAAATTAGAAATCAAAGGTTTTATTTATCAATCCAAACGGTGTATTTTGATGTAGTACTTCCTATAATAAATAATAATGAGTAGTGCTTTCATTTGTTCCTTAGCTTTCTATGTTCCTCAGCTTTCTATGTTCCTCCGAATCCTACTGTCGTATGTTTGGCGTGGTTGGGATTTTCTGTGTACTGCGGGAAGGCATCGTTTGTGGTTGGTTAATTTGATTAACTTCAACGCAGTTGAATTGAAGTTTCAAAGTGAAACACGTTTGAAACAGTTGCATTTTGTCCAATAATTCGTTACAACCAAATTGCACGCAAATGGTTCGTTCCCAGCCTAACTCTTATGCTTGGTGCCTCTGCATCAAAATGAGGCAGGGCACAACTCAGTCTCCAGTCCGTGGTTTGTACCCAGCCTTCTTCCTATGCGTTTTGCCACTGCATCAAAATGAGGCTTGGCACAAAAAAGTCTCCAGTCCTCAGTCGTGTGATGAGGAAGCTGCGAAGGAACCTGGGCAATTGTAAGTGAAAAGTCCTACAATCAAAATGTCATAAAGATGACCATGAGAGTAAAACTCATCTTGTTCTACATCATATCTCGTTTAAGAAATAGACGTTACACACAAAGTTTCTTGTTTGCAGAAGGCTTCCCAGTCCGCGAGTACTAGATCTTTCGCCCTCGGGGGAAGGGATGGGGGCTATTTACACAGAATGTACACCACCTCACCCCACCCAAAACAAAGGTTTTCCGAATTCTAATACTCTTCCCGTAACGGAAGTTTTTCGGTTCGGACCTCGCCTCTTCCTCACTTTCAGACTCGAATTTGTGAAATAATTGCCCTGTGACATTTTTGGTGAATTATCCCTAACATTTTCAGTTGCAGGCTAATGTCCCATAACGTGAAAAGAGATTAATTATGGGCGGCCTTCAAGTATCCTTCTAAAAATCAGTCTACGCCACTTAAAACGTAAGGCGCATCTTTAGTAAGATACGCAATACCTTTTTAACTTGTCGCAAAAAACCCAATGCAATTTCTCGTTTTCATTTGAATTGCAGATAAATTTTTTCATTAATATTCAGTTATTCGTCTTTCGCTCTCTCGAGTAAAGCGATGGCAAACGACTATAACTTGAAAATCGTTCTAAAGTTATTCCTGAGCAAAGAAACCTGCCAAGTGAACATTTTTAGCAACGAAAACCGTCAATATTATGATGACAGAAATTTTGGACAAGAGCTGAAAGCGTATGTAGTTACCGGATAGTAAGAACTTTGCCTTGAAGCAATGGCCGTCAACACGTGCAGATTCAACGTCAAAAACGCTCTGGATAACGGTGATTGAAGTAGTTCAGGATCTTTCTGAAAGGTAACAAAGCTATTTTGTGTATATTGGTTGCTGCCTCGAACGATTACTTTAAAAGTTCTCCAAGCACAGGCATTTTATTTGTTACAAAGATTTTCTAGTAAACATGAGCGTGAGTTTAACTGACTTTTCGGACTAATTTGCATAAAGTTTAACTCGTGCGGGAGCCTGTACAAATTATTGTTATCTGATCAAGATCAATGGATAGTCTATATTAAAAGTTATTGTAGTAGAAAGAACAGTTTAGGATCTTCTTAAGGCAAGGCATATATAAGAAGATGGGGAGGGGGAGGGGAAGGAAATATTTACCTTGTCATTTGTTCTCCCACTCCATAGGGAAACATTGTTCGCATCGCTACTGAAAATTCGCGATCTGCGAAATACTGTATGCAATCTGGAAGACACTTTGAGACAAACTGAAATTTGCTGTAAAATTGGCTGAGATCGCCGCTACTTTCTATTTAAGACGGTCAGGATGGGGTTTAACTGAGTACTGAGAATCGGTCAAAATTTCAATTGTCAACTAAGAAATGATACATTTGTAACTGATATGTGACATCCGAGAACTGCAAAATTTGCTGATGGCGGAGAAATGGGTGGGTTGAAATTTTCACTAATAGTAGTTAAATCTCAGCGACCTTTACTCATAACTGAGGGCCTCCCAGGCGGAAGTGGGGAAGGGGGGGTGGGGGAGGTAGCATGCTCCGTTGACCTCTTAAAGATTGCACCTTTTCTCCCCTGTTCTCTATGAATAAAATTTAATTGTTGCCTAAATTTTCCGTCAGAGTTCCTTTAATAGTAAAGATATCACTTGTTCCCTCAAATTGATCCCAAAAATATCCTTTGTTCCCTTGATATAAATGATCGTGTTCCCTTATTCCCCAAAACCCCTGGGAGGTCCCCATAATTGAGATTTCGGCGCCCCCTTCCTCCCCCTCCTTGCACCCTATCCAGACCCGCTATTAAATGAGCATTTGTTAAGTCAGCCTTTTCTAATTATTACGTTATTGTCTGTCATTAGGTAACAAACTGTGTTACCATGCCAGTGGATGAAGTTCTTATGACTGACATGGACAGACAGACAGTACAATAATGGTGTTCTGTGGTCCACAGGTTAGTCTGTGTCTGTCACTTGCTACAAGCAAATATTTTTGTGTTGTAGTTATTAATACCACTCCTTCACTCCTTTGACTGAAAATACTTTCAAGAGGCCTAAAATGTCTTATGACACAATAAGTGTGCTTTTTGTCTCAGTGATGGTCTAATTGAAAATGCCTTTACGACTCACTATTTGCACTCCAAACTCTCTCTGCCGAGTTACGTTTCTACTCAATCTTTCTGTATGGTACATTTATTTACGAAGTATATTTATATCTCTCCAGGAAAATGGTAAGTGCAGATATTTACCATGGAACAATGGACAGGTGCTATTAAAAAAGGATAACTTTAAAATGAAGGTAAGTTAGCTGACTTGCATCTTTTAGGTAAAAAAAAATCGTGGAACTGAATTTTTTACTCCTAGCTGTAAACACTTATTGACCCATATTCAGGGTTAAAAGGCAGTCGAGATTTTTATTACAAAATTAACGATATATTAAACCATATCTTATCAATTTGGCTTCAAATTGACTCCTGAGTACAATTAGCATTATTTATGTAAATTTGCTAACAGGACATTTTATTTACTTGTGGTCATTGATTATAGAATGATTGCTGATGTACCGCATGATCTCGATTATTTAAGAGGTCTTGATCTTGGGAAGGCTTACAACTGGGGGAGCGTATTTTCGGTGGTGGATGGGGGCTGGGCCTCTAAGGGGTTGGAAACACAGTTTGGAAATGAACTGAACATTTATTGTCAAAACACCTTACGAGACAGAAAGAGAAGGCAATTCTCGCAGGGTATTGTAAAGAAATGGCTCCCCGATGAAAAGTTTTGATCTGCACTCTGTTTGCGAACGTATCCACTAGATGTTTTAATTTTATGTGCAGATCAGTGTTCTTAAGAATATTTATCAGAAAGTTAACAAAGAACCTTTGGATGAGGGAGGGCTTATATGTGTTATATCGGGGGAGGGGGCGAGGGGGCTATAACCGGAATATGTTTTCAGCACATAATTGGGCCTATAACAATAAGGGGGATTTTATGGTAAATTATCTTGCATTGGCACGGGCACACAGCATATATTCACGTGGTTATTACCTCTCTTCAGGAAATATCAAGCATGGAGTGGAGAAAGCTGGAAATCAAGGAAATCAAATGCTTCAAAGGAAAACAAGACAACCTCAAGATGACTTCTGCTAATGAGGTTAGTTGATTTATTTACACAACATTTGCTGCGGATCAGGCTTAGGCTTAGGTTGTTCAAAAGCAGAATCGCTAATCGGGAATACAAAAACTCTGTCTCAAATGTACACACTAGTTTTCTCCAAAAATATAAATTTATACTTGAAAGACGAATGTCAGCTGACGTTAATTCTGGATCATTTGAATCAGTCCTACTTTTAGCAACCTGTGCCTGAAGTTTAGTGTCTCTAAGTATCAGTTCTAGAGTTTGTTGGGCCTGTAGCACAGAAATGCGCATGTCATTGTGCAACGTATACCGACCGAGATTGTTATGTCGATTGTTTAAGCCGTTCCGTCTCGGCAAAGACTTTTAATAAACATTATAAGAATATGATCAGTTCTGGAGCAACCTGTAATCTGCAGAGAACATGTCAACGCCATAGACTGACGACAACAAACCCAATAGAAAACTTTCATCAGAATTTATACCGCATTGCAAGTCTCAACAATGAGGTGGTGGGACTGAATTAGTGCCTTTAGAGCCCCGATTGGAATTTTTGAATTGTTTGCTTCATTGATGACTTACCTCTGCAACCCTACTACTCATAAATTGGACAGAACAAGCACAAGTACTTTTTGGCTAGACTGGCTGCCTACAGAAAATAGGCTGACTAAACTAACCGACTGACTGACCGACTAACTCGCTGACTGATCGCACGACTGACTGACTGACTGCCTCACTGACTGACCGACTGACTGACTGCATGACTGACTAACTGACTGAGTGCCGACTGACTAGCTTACTGACTGGCTGACTGAACTGACTGACTGACCGACTATCTCGCTGACTGACTACACGACTGACTGACTGACTGATTGACTGATTGACTGACTGAGTGACTGTACGACTGACTGACTGTCTGACTGACTGACTAACTGACTGACTGACTGCCTGACTGGCCGACCGACCGACCGACCGACCGACCGACCGACTGACTGACCGACTGACCGACTGACTTATTTGCTGGCTTACTAACTGGCTAACGAGACTAACTGAAAAACTGACTGACGGACTAGTTGACTGACTGACTAACTGACTGACTTATTGACTGGCTTACTGACTGGATGACTAAACCGACTTACTAACTAAATGACTGAATGACTGACCGAACGACTGA